GCCTGGAACCAGCCTACGCCCTGCACTTATATGGTATAACATAATATCTATAACATAATTATGTATCACATGGGAGTATCTATACAAAAGGCTATCGCTGGTATCTATGTCTACTTTCAAGTGTTTATTGTGGTCAATCAGCTTTAGATATTTAGCGAGCTTTAAATTTTAACGAATAATGAATAAAAACAATTATAAAATTATTTACTAATTTTGTTCGTCGTTTGTAGAGGTAGAGTAATTGATTCCTTTATTGATTCGTTATCCATGCACCGATTTTTTAGGCAATCCGAAATCAACACAATCTCACGGGTCTTGGTCACTGCACACGTGATATCAGTCAAATTTGATTTATTTAATGTTACTGTCGCTGTACTAATGTACTCGCTGTTGCGATAGAAATTGTATGTAGACCCAGCAGTCGTTTTAATCTGTTCTTCAATGGCCATCATAAGAAGCATAGATTCATTACCAGACATGGAGACATCCTTATTTTCTTCAATGATATCAAGAAGATTATCAACGACGCCAAAGAACTGCTCAGAAGTCTATCAGAATAATTGAGAATTATTTTCAAATCGTAAAGTCTACGAATTAAACTAATTTTTATATTAGCAAATTGACAGACCACGCATGTGTAAACAATAACATTGCAAAAATTTGCATGATAATAACAACAAACAATATAAAGTACAATATGAAAGTAATAATTAAATTAATGAAAATAGAAATAACAAACCAAATTTGTAGTGACACCCATTGTAGATACAACATGTAATGTCTCATACACAGCAAGCATCTCGGTATTTGTAAGGTTTACATTTGCTCTTGTGATGTCATCGAGCTTTGATAGACGTTCATTTACGTTATCTAAAGTGATATTCTTTATTAAAAAGATAAAAATGTCATACCTTAAACGTTACTCTGTTGTTAACAGTTTATGAATTTTTACAGCTTAAAATCGGATCTTTATATCATCGGAATTAGATGTTAACATGCCAAGCCATTTCAATTGCATATTATATGCGAAAACGTCACGTGTACTAATGGTTCCTTCTTGCACTGATTAGAAATAGTGCACAGAAAAACTTTATACTAATTGCTGATTTGTGAATTTTGTGCCGATGGAGAATATATACTCGATTTTGATATCTTTATACTTGACTTTCTATGAAATATAGTTTAAGATTCAAGTTTCATATCATTAATAACCTACGTACAGTAATCGAATTTTGTCTTTCTGAATTGATAAGAACATGTAAAGAACAATCGCAATGCAATGCCCATCATAGTATTCCCACAATGAATTAATTTTGCATGTAAATGACATTCTTACCTGTTGCAAGCCTTCTATAATTGTTGCCCTTGGTATTTCTATCAAACAAAGTAATACATAAATACATTACAATAGAGATCATGTTACAAAAAGAAATGATTTTTGTACTTTGGCGTTATTAAAAATGGCTCATTTACAAGTGGTGACGCTATGAATCGACGAATACGCACGTTTACATTGGGCTCAGTGACGGTTAGATTAATCATGGATTAAAGTAATACGTGATGGAATGGTAGGCATCTTTAGCATTTGAAATGTCATCGAGAGAGACACCGTCTATGTTTCAAATTTGTTAATTATCTAGAAGTCATGACAAATATATTTTTCTCAGCTGATGTGATATTATGAATATTTGTTTGATATTTTAATTTGAGTACTTACTATCCTGACAGAAGTCCCCTTTCCACCCCTCCTGACAATGGCATGTGGCGTCATTTGCCAATCTGTTATAGAAGCAATCCCCACCATTTAGGCACGGACCACATTCACAGCCATTAATGCCTTGAAATAGCAAACAATAAACTATTATTTTATGAAACTATGAATAAGATTAAGAAATTGTGTGCTAGTATTCCTTCACTCCAAAATCTTGTTCTATATCTTCTATAGCTGTTAATATTACATAGCTTTTGCTTATCAATTTTGTATCTCTCTCGAGATCTGGCCATCCTTTCCCAAATCATTGTTGTCTACATGTATAAACAAAAATACTGGTAATGTTTAACAGTATTTTTGCTGTTAATATGTACAGTATCTGTATCCAAATGTACAATATATATAATAACTATGTATATTAACTATTTAATATGTAAGCCTTTTACTGCAACTCTCAATGTTTTAAAAGTTTCAGAACTATGTGCATAGCAGGTTCACCATCATGGTTAATATTGGTATCTATTTTAACTGATGTACCTTGAACGTGGACTAGAATAGTACAGGTTCCAACGTTACCAGAATCATCGGTTGCTTTGAAGGTGATTGTAATGGGATCGATAGATATATCAATCATGTCACCTGATTGATAGGGATTTGAAATCACATTAATTAATCCGCCACTGTTATCGGTTACGATTGGAGACGACCACGTGACTTCTGAACTTGAAAAGCTAGTTCTTGCTAAGATATTGAACACACCGGACTCCTGTATGACATAACCACGTGAAAACAAAGTCGTTGGGCAGGATATTGCTGGCTTTTCGATATCTGGTGACACAAACATGATAGAAATAATAATATTACAAGTCGTACAGCAAAAATATTAGAAATAGAAAAACGGGCTAGTGTGCCTACCCGTGACAACCATCATATTACAGCGCCATATAGAAAACTATTTTATCTGGTACGTCTGAATTACAATTACATCAGACTTAAAGTACATGGGACCATGAGTAATGAGATAATTAGGCCTCCATTAATTCATCTCTCTCACCTTCTATAGTAATCCATACAGTACACACTGCAATGTTGTTTATCGGGCTAGCATTATCAGCAAATTTATATGTAACTAACGTTAAGCCAATTGGGAACTCTTCTATAACTTCTAATTCTGCGTAAGTTAAATTCAATACGCATGAATCGTTTTCAGATGCTTTCAACGCATTATGCCACTGCACGTAAGATAACCCAACATTGTCACTGGCGCTGACGTTGTACTGCAAAGTACCAAATGGCTGTCCGCGATCTGTAAAACCAATAAGAGAAATCGGGCATCGGACAGTAGGGGGCTCTTCATCTAAAGCATAGAAAAGTAAAAAAATATATCAATAGTTATACTAAAAACAATACATGACGATTATAAATAATTTTAGCATGGCATGGTGAGTGATTTTCTTTATTGCATTCTTTAATATTTATGTATCAATATTTAACTTAAATTGTAAGTTTACCTTGTATTTGTATTCTTATAAAACAGCTATTGTTGTTTTGCGACTGATCAACAGCACTGAATGTAATAACTATAGGGCTATCCGATATTGGGAGGGAGTCGCCAGATTCATATGGACTGGAAGTCAAGTGAATCAAGTCGTTACTGTTATCTGTCACTACTGGCAGTACCCAAGTGACAACAGCAGTTGAACTCCTGACATCAGTTCGCAGGAACATAATACCAGAGTTATCATATTCTACCAGATTTCCCGATGTGATCGTGATTGTCAAGCATGATATGAATGGTGGTTCCTTGTCTACGAGAAAAAGATGCATAAAATACGAAAATGAATATCCACCTGGTGTGGCAAACTATTACAATTACAATTGAAACCCCAATTGGAGCTTACCTTCAACTACAATCTGTATAGAACAGGTTGTTGCGTTAGTTAGAGGAGTTCTGCTATCTGCAAACGTGTACGTAACGATTGTGCTTCCAATCGGAAAAACTTCTGAAAGTTCAAGATTAACAAATGAGGAAGACACATCAAGTGATTTGTTGGAATAGTTTGAGTAAATGGTAGAGATCTGGACGTTGTCACTTGCAGTGATGTTGTATTGAATAACACCAGTTGAGCGTCCCTCGTCTGTAACACCTGTAATATATGCAGGACACCAAGCGACAGGAGCCTCAATATCTAAAAAAAATTAAGAAGTCGATGTGAAAACATCAGATAATACAGTATGTAGTCCAATATTATATACACAAAGTACTCAAAATCTACAGCAGCTACAATATGGCTCATGTAATATAATGTTTCGAAAAGGTTACGTCCCTCTATCTTTGTATGGCAGGAAAAACAAACTGCAAAAGCTAAAGAACAATGCAGAGGTTGCCATACCATCACACAACTCTTATATTTCGAAACGACTAATAAGTTTTAACACTTTGTTTGACATAGCATGTCATTAGAAGTACTTAACGTGTGATGTTCTCAACATGTACAATGCTGCTATAGTATCTGGCAATTTCCGTTAAACGTTGTCACGTTCACAAAGCTTGAATGAGCCATACAGCATGTACAAAATGTCATAAGCCTAAGTCATTCAATGAAAATTTGAACTTTTTGAAATGACAGAGATATGTATCCACATTACTATGTGTAACGTTTCGCTTCAAAAAGTCCCTATTACGATATTAATTTGCTACAAAACTTATTTTGAAAAATACGATTATTGAAAATCTCTAAACTGGCGCACATGGTGCAACCTTACCTAGAACTTGTATTAAAATTGTACAAGTGTTTGAATTTTCAAAAGGATCTTTTGCCATTAACTCGATGACAATTGGACTTTCTGATATTGGCAGTATATCACCTGATATATATGGACGTGATATCACTTGAATATTTGCGTCACTGTTGTCACTGACAATAGGAGATGACCAGGAAACTGTTGCATTGGTACTACCAATGTCAGTAGAGACGTAGAAAATGCCATCTTTTACTTCTACTAAGTTCGCAGAAGTTATATTGATATCGCAGGATATTGATGGATCTTCAATATCTGAAAAACATGTGACATTCAACGATTTAGTTTTATCTGGATATTAGGCCTATCATAGTTTAAGATGTTCTGTGTTACTGAACCATAAATAACATACCATAAACAGTGACTGTAATAGAGCATGTACCAATGTTAGGTTGAGGAATTGCTCTGTCGAGAAACGTATAAATTACTGTCGTATTTCCAATAGAATAGCTATCAGACACCCCAAGGTTAATAAAAGACGCTTGCACATCGTGAGATACGGTAGATATGTCGGAATAAACAGCGGAGATCTGGTCATTATCACTTGCAGTAATGTTGTATTGAATGACACCAGTTGGAAGTCCATTCCTAGTGAACCCTTCGATAGATGTTGGACACCAAATTACAGGAGCTTCTGTATCTATTTCAACGATCAATAATAATTTGAAAATTTTTTCAAATGCGGAAAATGAAATTATTATCAATAAATCATAGATCAAAAACAAAAAGTGCATAACTGGAAGATTAGCACAGTTGTAATAAACAGGTAAATGACATAAAAGCTTAAACTTAGCAACAGCTTACCTCGTACCATAATTAGTACTGAACAGGCATTTGCATTTCCGGAAGGATCAGTAGCCATGAACTCGATGAGATATGGGTTTTCTGATAATGGTAGAATGTCACCAGATCTGTACGGACTGGATGTCACTTTAACAACTCCACCACTGTTGTCACTTGTAACTGGAGATGTCCATGACAGAGTTGCATTGGGACTACCACTGTCAGTGGACACATAGAAAATGCCACCAGTTGTTTCAATTAAATTCCATGACGTAATACTGATTTGACAGCTGATAAATGGAACTTCGTCATCTAAAAGTAATACAATGAACAATAAACCCAAAATATTTTCACACGTTAGTCGCAGGCTAAAACATTATTTCTATAAAATATAAAGTATAATATTATTGGGCATAATGGCAGTTTGAACTTACCATTAATAGATACTACGATGGAACAATTAGCCACGTTGTTGGCGTCATCGTAAAATATATATGTCACATTTCGCTCCCCGATTGGAAAATCGTCATAGACTTCGAGATACGTGAACGGCGAATATACATCAATTGGAATTGTTGAATGGCTAGAATAAATTGAGGAGATCTGGACGTTGTCACTTGCAGTAATGTTGTATTGAATGGCACCAAAATACTTCCCGTCATCCGTAGACCCATTAACTGTTCTTGGACACAATACTTCTGGAGATTCGGTATCTAAAACAGTAATAATTATTTGGCATGCGAAATAAAATAACACAGTTTGGACAATGAGTTATCTATCCATGCCATGCTTAGAACAGTGAATCCACAATTGAGTATTTTAACATAATTGCAAAGAGAATTTGGGTAACCTTTTTATATTGCATCCGTTGTTTGGATGTTGAATGGAACGATCACTTGTTTTGCAAACAGAGTTTATTATAAAAAAAATACATAAAAAATGATATGGCGCTGCAAGCATGCAGCTTTCTGAGATGTGTACGTGTGCCTTATCAAATTACATTACAGTATTATTATTATGTGAGCTGACAAAGATTTCATTTCTAAGCATCATTACATGAGATGCAGACTAAATACAACAACTCAGAACAATATATTATAACAATGGTGATGATTAGAATGATCAACACTTGTAATTATTGTGTGCTATTGTTTATTGACTAAATGAACAGCAAAGTTTAATAAATATTTTTTAATAAAACAATACAACATACACAAATAAATTCTTGTCACGGCGCCGGATATTTGTCTGATGACAATTAAATAACTCCAGACCCTAAGCCTCATAACGAGTTTATGTTAAGCATCTTGTATATATGTTTGTCTTGTTTATAATTATCTTTCCATCCTGTAAGCTGCATTCACGTCGGACGCAAACCGAATTTTGAACCGCACATACCGATTCGATTCTCTGATCGGTTCAGTAGGCTTTCCGATGCACAAATTCACATTTGGTGTGAATGTAGCTTAATTGGCGATTTACGTGTTGTTAGATGAGTAAAGTGTAAAAATAAAAATCAGAAGAGAAAAGAAACTATAAAAATTATAAATTTGGCAGCATCTTACCTCGCACCATGATGAGTACAGAGCATGTATTTGTATTTCCTGAAGAATCTTTTGCCATAAACTCTACATCAATTGGGCTTTCCGATATTGGCAGCATGTCTCCTGATACGTATGGATATGATGTCACTTCAACATCTTCATCACTGTTGTCACTGGCAATTGGAGAAGACCAGGAAACCGTTGCATTAGGACTACCACTGTCAGTAGAGATGTAGAAAATGCCTCCAGTTTTTTCAATAACATTCCATGACGTAATAGTTAAGTTACAGCTGATAAAAGGATCTTGTTCATCTATATTAAGATTAAAGTAAAATAATCAGATCCATAGTAAAATAACATTACTTGTCTAAGTTACTGATCAATAGTAGTTATCAATAATTAGTCACTAGAGTAACACAATTAACCTCCAATCGTGATTTCGATAAAACAGACAGCCGTGTTTGCAAGTGGATCTGCATTATCAGATACACTGTACAGTACAGTCGTACTACCAATTAAAGTGTCTTCAGAAACTCCCAAATTGAGATATGACATATTTACATCTCGTGATAACATTGAAAAGTTAGAATAAACGTTAGAGATCTGGACGTTATCACCGGGAAGGATGTTGTATTGAATGGAACCAGAAGAGTGCCCATTGTCTGTCAAACCTTCAATGGATCTTGGACAAACAATAATAGAATCTTCGGTATCTACAATCAATGGAGTTAAAATAGTCAAATAAATTTTCTTTATATTAATTTACAAGCTGAAAAATATCCCAATCACTGTCCAAATACTTTCATCGATACGTACCTCGAACTGTAATGAATATTGTACATGTGTTTGAGTTTCCAGAAAAATCGGTAGCTATGAACTCAATTGGAATTGGAATTTTTGATATTAGCAGAATGTCACCAGATATGTAAGGACGTGATATCATTTCAACAACTTCACCACTGTTGTCACTGACAAAAGGAGATGACCAGGAAACCGTTGCATTAGGACTGCCGTTGTCGGTAGAGATGTAGAAAACATCACCAGTTGTTTCAATTAAATTCTTTGAGGTAATATTTATGTTACAGCTGATAAAAGGAACTTCTTCATCTAATGTAAAATTTAGCAAAAAAATGTTAGTACAAAACAATTTGAGAAACACTACATGTAATTCCACTTTATATTAATTCCTATAGCAATCTGTTAGTTTATCAATACATAATTATCATAAAGAATTAGCTCCCAATTCAAAATGTATAAAATGTAATGTGACTATACCTTTAATCTTGATTTCGATAAAACAGACAGCTGTGTTTGCAAGTGGATCTGCGTTATCTGATACACTGTACATCACAGTCGTGCTGCCAATTGGAAATTCTTCAGAAACTTCTAAATTAAGATATGACATATTTACATCTCGAGATACTATTGAAAAGTTAGAATATATGGTAGAGATCTGGACGTTATCACTGACAAGGACGTTGTATTGGATAGTACCAGATGAGCGTCCACTGGCTGTTGCACCTTCAATTGTACTTGGACAAATTATAACAGGATCTTCGGTATCTACAATCAATAAAATTGAAATAGGTTCAATACATTTTAATAGTTTACAAGCTACGGATTATCTCTGTCCAAAACCATCTTCGTTACTTACCTTGAACACTAATGAATGTTGTACATGTGTTTGAGTTTCCAGAAGGATCGGTAGCTATAAACTCAATTGGAATTGGAATTTCTGATATTGGCAGAATGTCACCAGATATGTATGGACGTGATATCATTTCAATACCTTCACCACTGTTGTCAATCACAAAAGGAGATGACCAGAAAACCGTTGCATTGGGACTACCGTCGTCGGTAGAGATGTAGAAAACGTCACCAGTTTTTTTAATTAAATTCCTTGAGGTAATATTTATGTTACAGCTGATAAAAGGAACTTCTTCATCTAACGTAAAATTGAGCAAAAAAAATAGTTACAGAACAATTTTAGAAACATGGCATTTAATTATATATACTTTGCAATAATTTATACAATAATCTGTTGCTTTATTGATAATTGTTATCAAAAAGAACAATTTTTTATATTTTTTATATTTTTAAATATGCAATGAATTGTTTCCACTCTGCTTTTCCTTTTCAAAATTGGAAAATAAAAACTAGATGAAAAATGAAATGAAATAAAATATAACGCGACTACCTTCAATCTTGATTTCAATAAAACAGACAGCTGTGTTTGCAAGTGGATCCGCATTATCTGATACCCTGTACATTACAGTCGTGCTACCAATTGGAAAGTCTTCAGACACTTCCAAATGAAGATACGGCATATTTACATCTCGTGATAACATTGAAAAGTTAGAATATATGGTAGAGATCTGGACATTATCACTGGCAAGGATGTTGTATTGGATAGAGCCAGATGAGCTTCCACTGGCAGTTGTACCTTCAATTGATCTTGGACAATATATAACAGGATCTTCGGTATCTACAATCAATAAAATGTAAATAGGTTGGTACAATTTCTAAATTTAGAAGCTACAAATTTTCTGTATTACTGTACAGGCTGTTTTCGTTACTTACCTAGAACTCTAATAAATACTGTACACATGTTTAAATTTCCAGAAGAATCGGTAGCTATGAACTCAATGCAAATTGGAATTTCTGATATGGGTAGAATGTCACCAGATCTGTATGGACGTGATATCACTTCAACAACTTCACCACTGTTGTCAGTGGCAAGAGGAGGTGACCACGAAACCGTTGCATTGGGACTGCCGTTGTCGGTAGAAACGTAGAAAACGTCACGAGTTATTTCAATCAAATTCCTTGAGGTGATGTTTATGTTACAGCTGATAAATGGATCTTCTTCATCTAACATAAAGATAAGCAAACAATCTTAGTTACAGAACAATTTGAGAAACATGGCATTATCAATCTGATAATTCTTGATTTTTATGTAAATTACCGTTTATTTTCTCTTTTTTCTGTATCGTCTTTGAGTTGTCAAAATGGGCCCCTACGTATCAGCTATGCTGGAAAGGGTCACCCACTTTAAACATTGTTGAAATAGAAAAAATAGAAAATTCTACTTTGCATTAATTTCTACAATAATCTGTAACTTTTTAGGTAAATAATTATTATCATAAAGTATTAGCTCCCAATTGAAGATGTACAAAATGTAACGTGACTAACCTTCAATGTTGATTTCGATAAAACAGACAGCTGTGTTTGCAAGTGGATCTGCATTATCTGATACATTGTACATCACAGTCGTACTACCAATTGGAAAGTCTTCAGAAACTTCTAAATTAAGATATGGCATATTTACATTTCGTGATATCATTGAAAAGTTAGAATATATGGTAGAGATCTGGACGTTATCACTGGCAAGGACGTTGTATTGGATAGAACCAGATGAGCGTCCACTGGCTGTTGCACCTTCAACTGATCTTGGACAAAAAATTACGGGATCTTCGGTATCTACAATCAATAAAATTGAGATAATGTTGAAAATAATTTTAATAGGTAACGAAACATCTTCATTACTCTCAAAATACCATCATAGGTACTTACCTCGAACTTTAATAAGTAATGTACACGTGTTTGAGTTTCCATAAGGATCAGTAGCCATGAACTCAATAGGAATTGGATGTTCTGACAATGGTAGAATATCGCCAGACCTGTATGGACGTGATGTAATATTCACAGCTCCACCACTGTTGTCACTAACAACTGGAAATGACCATGAAACTGTCGCATTGGGACTACCATTGTCAGTGGACACGTAGACAACGCCATCCATAGTTTCAATTAAATTCCATGATAAAATATTCACATCACAGCCTATAATTGGATCTTCATTATCTAAATTACAAATCAAACAAGTTATTAATATATCATACAGCATCAATAAATTACACATTAAAATTCTGAACTATAACATCCAATACAATAGATCCTCCATATTGCTTGCTTCCATGACTGTTAAGAACACGCTGCACAAGCCCATTACCATTGGTTGTCCACCAGTGGCGGATCCAGGAATTCGAAATAGAGGGGGTGGGGGCCAGGAAGGGACTTCCATAAATAGAGGGTCTAGACCACCTTAGGCTCATCATGCTTGGGGCTGAGGAAAGAAAATTTATGATTTTGGCCCCTCCCCTTGAAAAGAAAAAAACATTATGTATTTTTCCTTATTAGTAGACTCTCAAATCAATTAAATATGCCTTTGAAACCCCTAAATTTTCGTATTTTTGGGAGCATTTTACCTGGACCACTTTCAAAGATTTTAAGCGACATCCGACCACGCCCACTTTTTCGGGGAGAAAAGTCGGGGACCTTGCCCCACCCCGTCGGGAAAATGTAAGCTCATGAATTTCTCCATTTTCCAAAATAATTTATTTTAATCAAGTAATAATGATAATAATTACTATTATTATTAATATTATTATACTTACCTTGTATAACGATTTTCACATGGCAATATGCCTGATTGTTCCGCGCGTCCCTGAAGGTAAACATTACATGAGTACTACCAATGGGACAAGTGGCCACAACGTTTGATGAATACTGCAGTGTGTTGATAGTTTCTGCACTTCCACCACCAGGGGTTACAGATGTATAGTTGGCTACAAAGTCAACAATTCCAGAATTATCGGATGCTGAGATACGGAACGTAACGACGCCGTTAGAATCACCCTGATTCGTGAATCCATCTACCGTAGAGGGACATGATGCGCTTGGTCGAATTTCGTCTGTTAGCAAAAAGTAGTAATAACAATAAAAGGCAGTAATGAAATAAACGTGACGTGCACTGTTAATTAAATCAAATATCTTTTTAAATGTATATATTATTCTACAAATTTAATGAGTTAATAATGAGATTCCATTTTTCTAAATTTGTATATATAGTAGGCCTATGTTATAAATTTTATCAGAAAATAATGTAATTTCCTTTTGTATCAAATTAAAAAAGTTTCCTTTTGAAAAAAGTTAGAATGGTAATTCTGCATACTGATTTATTTTTTTTTTTGTATGATTAATTTTTTAAAATTTGAAATCCACTTTTTTATGTAATCATTTTTCTAAATTTGTATATAGGCCTATAGTATCTTATCAATTTTATTTGAAAATAATGTGATTTCCTTTTGTATCAAATTAAATATGTTTTTAAAGATATAATGGTAATTCTGTATGCTGACTTCATTTTTTGTTTGTATTAATTAATTATTGAAAATTTGCAATCCAATTTTGTTATGTAATCATTTTTCTAAATTTACATATAGTATCTTTAATTTAAAAATAATGTGATTTCATTTTGTATCAAATTAAATAATTTTTTTAAGGTAGAATGGTTTTTTTTTATGAACAATATTTATGAACGACATGTTTTGACGTATCACACGTCATCATCAGGTATTGCTACTTATGCTCTACCGGTTTATATACTACCGGTCAGTCAAATACTAGCCTAATAGGAAAGTCATGTATATTAAAGTTTAATACTAAAGTCATGTATATAAGAATTAAAATAAAAGAGTGGTATTGTAATGAGTTGTTTGTTCGTCAAGTGAAGGGTTTCCCCAAGCAATGCAAAGGACTTCTTTTTTGTATATTATAATTAATTATTGACAATTTTGTACATATGATCTCTAAAATTGATATGTTGATAATGTGATTCATTTTATATGCTGCAATTATGGTTCTCCTGTTCTTGTCAATTATGTGAGTTTTGTATATCAATTTATATAAGTATGGCATTTCATGTTGAACAGTTATTGTCAATTGAAGCAATTCAGTGATTTTACTGCTAGATACTGTATGTTTTATTAATAAACCAAAAATGAAAGAATGAATGAATATGTCTCACCCAATAGTTCTACAGGCAAATAGTGAGGCAAATATTCAAAAGAATAAGTAACAGTTAATTAAAATAGGTTTATAATAAACACCTAGATTCCTATTTAAACAATTTAACAAGTAAATGGCCCAAAGGTCAGATACCCTGCTGCCTGCAACGTAACATACAGTAAATCTTACGTTTAACTATGCATGAAAGTATAAAACACTTTACATTACCGATAGCTGTAATAATCGCTCGGAATCCCCTCCTGACAACCGAATAATCTGTTGTCATTCTGATAACTAGTGTATTTCCTGCTGGCATTACGTAATCTGGAGGACTATTATATCCAGTATACCATCCCTGAACCTGGCCGCTATAATAGATTTGTAAATAATCATAGCCAGATTCAAGCTGAAAGTCAGTGAATTCCAAACGTAGACCGCATTGGCTGCATGGGTGAAAGGTACACGATACGTCCATGTTATTATAATATGATGATGGGTATCCAATGGAAGACACTCTTACATCGGTATACACTGAAACTTGTGTTGTTATTCCATTACATGTAGCATCAACTGTTTAAAAAAAAGTCATTAGAGCTAGATAACTTTCATTCTACATTTTTTCTACATTACACATCGTAGAACTGCTATTCCAACTAAATTTCTTTTAAATGAAAAGTTTACCGAAAAATTACTACTAAGTGGTTGTTTATCTTACGTTATATTTGTAGGATTTACTTTCATACAGAATGTAGATTTGCTTTTTTTGACACAGAATCTGATTTTCTTATTTTTAAAGATTATTAATTGTCTGCATAAACTTAAACTTGGTTTAGGGTTAAACAGGATTGCCCAAATTCACGAAGACTTGCCATCGAGGGGCTTTCCTTAACTCAACAACAAACAAAATACAAAACTGCTTAAAATGTTGAAACAATTATATAAAAGTATTCAAACAGTAAAAAGCTATAAATACACATCAAGTAACATAACTGAAACTGCTAAAATAGGTTACAAAATTGTTAAGCAAAACCAAAAAAAAAAACGGTAAAAACATTAATCATTTATATTAAAATATGCAACAAACAAATCCATTACAGAGGTAAAATGATTTGAGTTTAGTTATGAAATTGTTAAGATTAAAAATTAGTCCTTTGCGAAGATCAGCAGGAAGACTGTAACACACCATAGGGAAATAATTAAAGAAATAAAATTTAAACGCATTTGTCCTTGCAAAGGCATGTTTAAAAAGTAAATTATCTGGATTACGGCCGTTATAGAATTTTAAAAAGTTTATGTTAAAATTACCATAATAAAAACTTTGAGATAAAAATAATAAGAATATATTGCAAATGATTTTCAATTGACATTAGGTTATGCTATTCAAGTCCTTTTATTCAGTGGTATAAATAAGTGTCTCTGACAGGATTCGAAACTGCAAACTCTCGCTGTCATGGTGAGCGCCATATCCACCACAGAGACCTATAATACGTGCAGATTTAACCTTCAGACACTTTCTCTATTACAACTGACTGAAATGCTCACACATGGGCCTAGTGGATCTATAGAGAAGCTAGAAACGCTTATAGGTCGCAGCTTGGAAATCATACTAAATTCAAACTACAGTAGGTTTGCTGCGTAGCACCGTGAACACAATATAAACAAATGAATAAATAATAATAACAGTGCTCAAATAGTATACAAATATTGACTGCTCTATTTTCGGGGAATGGTGAAACCTATTGCCCCGAGGTGATGTGGAGGAGACCGTAGCCTATCTTCCTTAGGGCCGAAGCGAAGGTCTCCGCATCACCGAGGGGCAATAGATTTCACCATTCCCCGAATATAGAGCAGTCAATATTTGTTTTATATACCTCATACATAGATTCTACGAGGCCTAAAAAAGTACTTACTTCCTAGCCTGTTATATTAGAGGCATACTAGGCCTAGGCCTACTGCTACTCGAATAGCTAGGCCTAGGCTAGGCTAGACCTAGGCCTGGCGATCAAAAGAGTGTGTCTAGTCTAGGCCTAGGCCTAGCTCTTCTTTGCTTATTTCCCTAATTTCAACAGCACCCATTGTCTTGCAATATATTTGTCGAATATTGATAAGACATATTTAATTTGTCTTTTGGTGCTTTGCTATCGGCTTCATCAAGAAGTAATGCTAGGCCTAGGCTAGTCTCCTTCATTTCGAAACGAGCAGCCTCCATTTATTTGTTTATCGTCTACTCGCTGATCCGTGACGCGGTCGGTCAGTTTGCAGCAGTCAGTCGGAGGGGGAGGAGGATAATCTCGTCGTAGAGGTCGCAGTCCCCCCCCCCTTTTTTTTTTTTACAGTC